CAGGGAGGGGCGCTGCTCCGAGATCCTGCGACTGGGTTTCTGCTAATTACACAAATCAGTAACAGATGTGCTGAGGCCAAGCACCTTGTATTTATTCCAAAATGTGTTTTCTTTAAATGACAAATGTCTTTTAAGGCCAAAAAAGAAAAATATTATTATATAGTTTTCCCCTGCAACACACAGCGAAACAGGGATCCATGTCTTCAAAGAGGTCGTCCATCCTGCTGTTTGAAGAAGGAGCTCAGCCAGTGGGCTCGGAGTGGAAAGCCCTTTGTAACTGTCTAAGAGCCTTATTAAGGTTTATTTAAATGTGGTATTCTATAAATCATAGAGTTTGTGTTTTTAGACTGTAATTTGTAGTTGGAATATTTTTACTCTATAAAATGGTTGATAAGGTTGATAAATTGCTTCCATGAAGAAAGGAGCCAGGAGGAGCTTTCCTTAAACAGGGAAACAGGGAAGTTGGAAAAATGAACTCTCCTCTTCCCTGTTTTCCTGCTCAGTGAGGAGACATTTCTATGGTTCCAAACAGACCAGTGGCATCTCACAGAGCTGGCTCTTCTCTTATTCAGAATACTGGAGATGGGGAACAGACAATTTGGAAGTTGAGGTGGTATGACACCTGACAGAGGCCCTAGGACAAAATTTTAAAAGTATTTATATTTAAATATTTTTATATGATAACAAATATACAAACAGGGACCCCTGTTCATATAAACAACTTGAGTTATCCAAAAATCACAATGTCAGTACCATTAGACTGGTCTAGTCTCAGGCCAGAATATTTCCTGTATCAGAGACTCCAAAGGAATCATTCCTCCTCCCTTCTCCACCCCACCCATCTCTTTGGGACATCTGATGTCATCTCTTTGGGACATCTGGGACATCATCTCATGTGAGCATGCATGTGTGTACTTGGGGGTAGGTGGGTAGTGGAAGTGATAGAGGGCTTGAGAAACAGGGATGGGATCCATGTGGGTCATGCTCTGGGCTGGGCGAGTGTGCCCCTCTCAGCTGGTCCTAGTCATCAGAGGGAGTCTTAAACATTTTCTGAGGGTATCTAAGGACCTTCAGGAGAAGTGGAACATACTAGCATAGCTATTTGTAAGTGGAGGGAGAAGCCTGTTGTAAAAGAAATACTGCTCGTGACTTTAATTTTTGTGGAAGTTCCTACACCTTAACTGTGCTAAGCCAATGCACATCACCAGAAAAGCTATTTTTTTAAAGGTGAATAACTCAGATTAGCACTTTTGTTTAGAATAAACAGTGATTGATATAATTATGTATTCATGAGGAAAATACTTCATTATATCAAGGTATTCAGTTTTGTTAATCTAGTTTAGATTTTCTCTTGGTTTCATGAATATAGTAGTTTACTATACAAATAAATATCTCTGATTAATTATAGCAGTAAATAATTGTATTTTCATAAAAAGTGTAATTAGTGAAAAAATAGACATTCTCACTTACCTTAAACACATCATTTGAAGCTTGAATCCCTCTATCCCTTCTTCCTTCCTTCTCTCCCTTCCTTCCATAATGCAGGTGCGCTCTTATTGAGCATCTTCTGTTTGTCAGGTGCTGCTATTCTGACATTTGCTTATTTCCGTGAACACTCACTGCCTCCCCTGGGTCCCCAGTTTACAGCCAAGAAACCAAAGACTCAGAGGGGTTATCTTACTTAAGAATACCTAGTTCTGTCTTCTGACTCCAACGGCTTTACCTTTAAGACACAAGCTTCCCTTTGTTGAATAATTACCCCATGCCAGGCACTGGGTTAACTTCTTGGGTGCATACAGATGTGTAAGTCATGTAACTGCTCACAAGGAGGTCACAGTCTCGTGGAGGTGGTGCTGGCACATAAATCATTTTTAAGCTGACAGTTACAAAGGAGTGAGGCGTGGAGTGTTGGAGGACTATTAAGAAGTGGCTGGACCCCAACTCCGGAGGGTGGGAGTGGCAGGGCACAGAAAGGCTTCCTGGAAGACCTGTCCATGGAATGACCCTTCAGGGATCAATCATAGTGAAGAAGGTGAGGAGTGGGAGGGTGAGCATCCCAGTAGAAGGGCCCCAGGAAGACAGTCACTGAAGTGAATGGCTTGGGCAGGAATGCAAGCCATCTGAAGTGGCCAAATCTGTGGGATTTGGGGATTAAGTTATGTGGGGTATTAAAGAGAGAAATATCAGTTTTCTGACTTGAGTCCTAAGATAGATTCTCATATCTGCTTCTGCATTTAGTTGGTTGTATTATCACAAGTCATATACCTTTATGCAAGAAAGAGATAGAAAAGGGCAAAGAAATTAACTTCGTAGTATCTTTTTGAGAATAGTTTTGACATTTACACATCTAGAAGTTCTCTAGACCATACTTTGAAACTCTTTATGTTCAATGTATGACATTGAGCAATCTCCCAACCTTGATGGGACTCAGTTTTCCCATCTATAATTTGGGGGCTGTTATTAGTACTGACCTCATATGGTTGGGAGGATTTCACGAGTCAATATATGTAAAGCCCTTGAACTAGAACCTGGTACATAGCAGGGGGCTCAGTAAATATCAGCTAGTTTTCTTTTTCTTGTTGTGATTCTGAGTAGCAGTAAAATGCTTCCAAGAAATTGCAAAAAGTCATTTAAGCTTTATTCTCATGAATTTTTCCTTCTTGTCCTCTCTTGCTCTAGTTGTGAAATGAGGCTTCAAGTCCAAGTGCCAACTTACAAATGCCTGCTGTGAATAATTTAGGCTTTAGTGCTAGCCAGTTTGTGATGATGGTGGCACTTTGTGCCACGCCATCAGCCACTTTCAGTGTAGTATGTCATGATTTCCCAGTCTTTCTTCTTAATATCAGAAATCATCTCTTCTCTGTGAGTGGATGTTAGTTGGTAGATGAGGTGAAGAAAGATTAAGTAATTTGACCAGCACACGTTCTGCCTGGGCCTACAAGATTCCTGTTTGGCTGCTTTCCCTCTTTTATATTTTCCAAACTGCAATCACAATGTGAATTAATATGCTTGAGGACTGGAAGTGAGGTGCCATCATCAAATAGTGGAGGATTCATGCCAGCTACTTGTCTCTCTCTCTCTCTCTCTCTCTTTGATGAGGGTGAGTGAAATAATCAATCTTGGCTTCATACTGAAATTACCTGGGAAAAGTTTCTTAAATCCTCCCATGAGGATATAATTTTTATTAATTTTAGAGAGAGAGGAAGGGGTGGGTGGTGGGTGGGGAGAGAGAGAGAAACATTGATTGGTTGCCTCCTGTACACACCCCAACCAGGGATCAAACCCAAAACCTGGGTGTGTGCCCTGACTGGGACCAGGTGACCTTCTGGTGTATGGGATGACACTCCAACCGAAGTTACCCGGTCAGGGCCTCCTTGGAAAAAATTTAAAACTACTGATGCCTGGATCATCCCAGCCCCAAAGATACTGATTTAATTGGTCTAGAGTATGGATTTTTAAAATCCTCCCAGTGTCCAAAGTTTTGCCAGGCTATGACTAAAAAAGGTCATGTGTTTCCTTTTTTAAAAAATTGTAAAATATAATGAAGCTATAAAAATTTCCTAATACCTTAACATCAGCTTAACAAATTGTAAAACGAACATCCCCATGACTATGATCCAGTGCAAGGAACAGAATGTTGCCAAACTCCCAGAAGCTCCCCTTACCTCCCTTACCTTTTGTTGGCCACACCCTTTTTCCAACTCTCTAGAGGTAACCATTAACCTGGCATTTATAATCACATTATTGCTTTGTCTTTTAATTTTATCATCAGTATGAATCTCTCAAAGACCTAAAAATGATTGGCACATTTTCAAACTTATTGAAATGGAATCCTAATTTTTTGTCTGGCTTCTTTTGCTTAGCATTACTTATATTTTTTATTCATTCTTATTCTTGGATATAGCTGAAGTTTTTTGCTTTTCATTATTCTGTAGTATTCCATGATGTCAATATAGTCCTACAGTGTCTTTTTCCGTTCCACATCTGATGGATGTTTTGTTTGTTTCTGGTTTGGAGCTGTTACAACCAATGCTGCAATACGCATTTTTATGTGTCTCCTGGTACATGAAGGCAGACACTCTGAACTCATATATCTAAATAGAGTTGTTGAATGCATTTACTCATCAGAAGGACATGAGAGATTGAGCTGCTGCTCTGGTAGACTCTTGGGGTAGACAGGAGTTGGCATCTGGAACCCTGTTAAGGTTCCTGCTCTGGGCTGAGACCTTGTAAGGTTGCATACTACTACATTTTCTCAAATGTCACTTCTCAGTGAGACCCCCTTCTAATCACCTACAACCCTCCGACATTTCCTATTCTCCATTCCTCCCTGATATGTATTACCTCCTAACTCACTCATTCAGATATATATAATATAGATTATATATATATGTATATATTCTTGTTTATTGTCCTTTTCCTGTCCCCATTAGAATGCAAATTTCATGAGGGGATATTTCTATCATCTTACTTACTTATATGCAGTATCCTGTGCAGATAGCTCAATTTCCAGCTTACTTTAAACCACTCCTAAGAAAAAGCTCTTCATTTGAACACATAGTAGAGCTGATAAGTTAATTTCTGCATCCCCCTCTGAAGATTTTAGTGAATCCTTTGCATATCACTTAGATCAGATCACTGGACTCATTATAAGCCATTGCAAAATGGAAGAATGAACTAACAGTCCACCACAAGAGTCCAGGGCCTTGAATGTGTCCAGTGATTTCTGTAGATCATCTCCTTTCATCCCCATTGCAACTCTGCAGGGAAAGTATGGCTTCATTTTAAGATAAAGAAATGGAAATTGAGAGTGATCTAGTATCTCACTAAGGCAGTGGAGCTGATAAGAGAGAGAGAGTGTGAGGGAGAACTCATTCTGTCTGGCTCCAAAACTAAACTCCCAACCACTGCAGGAAATTGAGATTTTCACTTAAGACTGACAAGTGAATATGCTCATTGGTATGGATGATGTTGCTCACAGATGTGTTATTTCTTTTCAGACTGTCTATGACCAGTGGTTCATTACCCTTTATAACATTGTCTACACATCACTTCCTGTTTTAGCCATGGGGATTTTTGACCAGGTAAGCGTTTTTCTCTATGTTTACAAGTTATTGTGCTCTGTGGATGTCTTTTAGTTGCTTCTAACTTATAAGTAGAAGATATAAGTCACAGAGAGTCTTAGGAGCACAGTTGTTTTAATAGGTATTGCAAAAACCCCTTCCAGATACCTTACTGCCCCCAAAGCTTCTCTGATCAGTTTGGCTACTGTCCTCTTAGAGATTCATATTCCACACTCACATCCCACCGTCTCAGAGCTCTTAAGGCTCTAAGACATCCTGCAGGAAGTAGTCTCTTTGACTTCTTCCTAGTTCAGCATTTCCCAAACGTATGCAACTGTATTCTTATTTATTTTCCACATATCACTTATTAATATGCCTCAGAACTAGCACCCTGTGGTTCTACACACCGGGAAGTGCTGTATTAGCTTCTGAGAGAGTAGAGAACCTCGAGTGGAAGATAAAAATTCATGGAACCAGGCGGGAGTGCAGAGAGGCAGCATGTGCAGGGAGACTTCCTTGGCCAGCACAGCCCAGAGCAGAAATTACAGGCCAGCGGAGCACCTTCCTACTGGGAGAGAAAGACATGGCTCCATAGCCGTGGAGAGAGAGGGTGCATTGCAGTCTTCTTTTGTTTAGCTCAACTTGCTTGAGAGGAGAGAAGGGAGGGAATCAATTACAAAAATGGTGGCTCCTTGGCACACTCAGAGCCTTGGAAGGTATTTCCTGGAAGAGGAAACTGTCTGGCTGCCTATAGGGGAAATGAAAACCTCGCCAGAAGAGTTTCCATGGCACGATTAGAGTGTATTCTTTAAAAAACTTTTTTGAAGTATTTTTAAGGAGACCAGATTTTCTCCAGGCTGTTGTTAGACCCATTTGCTGAGCCTCATTTTCTGGCCCGAAGCCTTCTATTGCAAAATATAAATCTTCACATTATGAGCTCACTTCACTCTTCCATTTTGTACTTTGCAGTCAGTAGTAAGTCTCACTTTTCATATGTAAAAAGGGCAGTTTGTGAATGGCATAGTTTATGGAATTCTACACCAAGAAATGGATTCCTAAAGACCTTCGATGTAAAGGATTTAAAGCACATTCATTTCCATGCTCAGAATGTGGAATAAAATAACAAAAATAAAGCAGTGTCTGCAAAAAGATGGTCATTGTGCAGTTTGAAAAACTATATAATAAGGCCTCTATAGCCATGCACTTGAGTGTCTGTTCTCTTCCTTTCCTGCTTTGTTAACTTGGCCCTCAAACTGATCCCAGGAACATGGAATGCTATGCGGGAAGGGCCTCAGTGATCACCTACAGATCACTCATTTTATAAGGAGGAAGCCAAGGCTCAATGGTTCAACTCACTGCCCCAAAGCCCTACAGTCAATAAGAGATAGAATTCACCCTAACACCAGGCCACTTGACTCTGAGCTTGCTGCACTACCACCATTGTTATTATTACTATCATTATTTTATTATTATTCTTTATAGAGGCATCTTTATTTATTACTTAAGGTATGGCAAGAACTCTGCTGAATACCTGCCCATTTAATGATGACAGTGGTCCTGTGAAGGAGGTGCTATTGTTAGCATTTCTGGAAATGAGGAAACTGAGGCTCACACTACACACCTGCTAAGCTGCAGAGCTGGGGTTTCAACTCGGGATTGTCTGATTTCAAAGCCTGTGCCCATAACTGTCCAAGTCACTGGACAGAGAAAACAAGCCTCAACAGCATCTCAAAACACAACTTCTGAACAGAATATGTCAGTGTTCTTCATGGGACTCCATTCACCTAGACTCAGGCTATCCCACAGCGGGAAGGGAACTTGGTCTGCCCCTAGAGTTCATGCCTGTGTCTCTTCCTCTTTGGCCTGCTTCTCCTCCACCCATGGTCCTCTGATGTCCTTCGTGGTCAGTCCTTGCCATCCCTTTTGGTTTTGGCATTTGGCTTTGGTGCTCACAGTGTGGTCATCAGCTTTGGAACTGGTTGGAGATGCAGAGTCTCAGGCCCCACCCCAGACCTATTGAATCATCATCTGCTTCCTAGGTGATTTGTGTGCACATTAAGCTCAGGAAGAACTCTTTTAGTTTTCCCCCAGGACCCTTGTTAGGGCCAAACATGATGCCTTCTCATTCTGTGGAAATTCTTTGTCCTGAACACCTGGTAAGTGCCACTGAAATCTTCATTGGGTAGGACACTCACCTCTTTAGGCTCAGCTCCCTGCCCACCTGAAATCCCATATGCAATGTTTCCCTTTTCCTGTTCCTCTCCTCCTGCTCCCCTTCCCTCATAAGCTGGGAACTCTGATTGGCCAATTCCAACTCTGCAGCTCTCTGCTGCCATCACCTAGTTACTTCCACTCACTGCCTTGGCAGCTGACACTGGAACCCTGGGATCATGAATGCAGCTGCAGGAGAATACAGGAAGGAAACCTCAATGTGAAGCCAAACATCTGGGTGCGAGTCAGGTTTTGGTTCTGAGAGCTGTGTAACCTCTCATGAATCTCTCTTTGAGACTCCAGTTCCTCCTTTATAAAATAGAAATCATTTTAGTCTCCTCTGGGTTATTGTGGGGACAAAAGCAAGATAATGAGTAGTACATATAAAGGCATGCTTAGACATGCACTTGCTATTTCTGGAGATAGGGAATTCAGGGCCTCTCTGACTTCTCCTCAGATCTCTTGTTCTGAAGTAACTCTCTGTTGACAGGATGTAAGTGACCAGAACAGTATGGACTTTCCCCAGCTCTACAAACCTGGACAGCTGAATCTACTTTTTAACAAGCGTAAATTTTTCATCTGCATGGCACATGGAATCTACACCTCATTAATCCTTTTCTTCATCCCCTATGGGGCCTTTTATAATGCGTCTGGAGAAGATGGGCAGCACTTTGCCGACTACCAGTCTTTTGCAGTTACCATGGCCACGTCCTTGGTCATTGTGGTCAGCATGCAGGTAACCGTGTTGGTGAAAACAGCTTGATAGCTTTACAACTTTTAAAATTCTGTTTCATTGTTGACTGATTTTGTTTACTTCTTTGAAAAAAACAAAACAAAACCCTACAGGAATACTGGGGTTTCATTTTTAACTACACATGTTGAGATGCTGGCTGAACCTATTATAGTAATCATTCCACAATATATGTAAATCAAGCCACCATACTGTATGCCTTAAACTTATATAGCAAAGTATGTCAGTTATTTCTTAATAAAGCTGAAAAGAGAAAGAAAACAACAAGCTTTAACATAAATTACCTAATGTAGGAAATTAACATTAGGTATTTATATCCTTCACGTTAATGTAAACCTCACAATGGATCACATTTTGGGGTTGAGCATTGTCGGTAAAGACATATGAGATATTATTATACTATTACTTCCTTCTGGTGTTTGAAGAAGAAAACTTTTCCACTTAGAAAGAGAAACGTTTTCATAATTTCTATAAGACTTAATACTTTCCAGATTTTAAAGTGAGATCTAAAGTTTATTTGGCAATACCTTTCCTTGGAATTATTCAAGAGGTTCAGTGTTTAATCTGTGGTACCTTTGAATCTGATGGGGATGCTTTTTGATGTTCCATTGATCTTCTTCCACTGGACATCTTGAGTGTTGTTTCTATTTCCTTTTTAATGCAAATATGGACAATGCTATTAGAAATGGAGTTAGACTTCACAAAGCTTTCTAATCCATTAAAATCTGTAGCTCTGGGTGGGTATGGCAAGCAATGTGGCTTCTGTTTCTTTCTGTTTTAGGTTTGGAGGTTTCTGTTTGTTTGTTTTTTGTTTTTGTATTTAAGGGGAAAGTATCAATCAAGGGCTTAATTTTTATAGAGTTTGAGTTGCCTTTGGTCAGTCCTTTTTCAATTCTATAAACAATCTCTTTTCCAAATCTTAGCTGCTTACATCCAACAAAAGATCTCATTAAACCCAGACTTTTTCTTCATGACTCAATAAATATTTATTAGATTGAATGAATAAAATGTAAACATATTGCTTTAAAAGGGTGTTTTGTCATTCCTTGGCCCACCTAAGTGAGTATCATTAAGTCCATACCCAAACCATCTCACACTTGACATCTTGGAAGTTCAAAATTCAGAGTCAGACAAGTAGTATCCAAAAGGAGAACCAGATTTCTCCAATCAAAAAGAAGTTCTGTTTGTCTGTTTTACAACGAAATAAAGCATACTGATGCTTTGTGAGCCCTCCAAGCCTGGTTTCCAATGTTTAATTCTGCAGCAGAGGAGAAAAATCATGGAGTGGTTTGGAAGCATCTGACGTAGCTAAGACCTTTATTGGGAGAGCCCATTGCTGGGATAAGGTCTATATCACCACACAGAAAGCTACTGTTCCATCTTTTCTTATTGCTCTTGCCACTATATTGGGCACTGCACCCTCTCTTGCTTTGTTGCCATTTGATCACTGAGCAAACTCAATGAATACAGCCCAGAGAGTTGGGTGACCTACTCCTTGTCATAAGTGCACGTTTTCAGTTCTCTGGATTCTCCTTTCAGTGGAAGGCAGTTGTGGGGTGTACAGGGACATCTTTTTAGTGGTAATAGGTACCTCCAGGTCAGGCCTGTTACTTGGTGCTCCAAGAGATGATTTGAAAGGTAGTAACTGAGATGAAGGGCCAACCACTGAAGAAAAAAGCAAAGGAAAACTATTCTTCAAACTGTTCTTGACATTATCTGCTATATAAACAAGGGCAAAATTTACATGAAAAATTCATTGTAGATATGACAGGCATGAGATATATATATATATATATATATATATATATATATATATATATATGAAGTCTGTGAACTTATTTTATTTATTTATTTCTTAATTAATTTGTTTATTTTTGTTACAGATGTTTCTCCGTTTTTCCCCTCTTGATTCCCCCTTCCCCCTCCCTCGCCGCCCTGTCCCCAGCTTTGTTGTCCATGTCCATTGTTCATGCACACATGCATGTACGTTCTGTGGTTTATCTCTCCCCCACCACTCCCTCTTCTGGGGATTGTCAGTCTGTACCCCACTTCCACGCCTCTGGGACTACCCCATTCCTCAAACTGTTATGTTCATTATATTTCACAAATAAGTGAGATCATATGATACTTATCTTTCTCTGTTTGGCTTGTTTCGCTTAGGATAATACTTTCCAGGTCCCTCTATGTTGTTTCAAAGGATAAATGATCTTTCTTTCTTATAGCTGCACAGTACTCCATTGTGTACATGTACCACAGCTTTTTTATCCATTCGTCTACTGATAGGCATTTGGGCTGTTTCCAGCCATTTGACCCAGTGACCCCACTTCTAGGAATATACCCTAAGAAGCCTGAAACACCAATCAGAAAGAATATATGTACCTCCATGTCCATAGCAGCACTGTTTACAACAGCTAAGATCTGGAAACAGCCCAAATGTCCATCAGTAGACGAATGGATAAAAAAGCTGTGGCATGATATATTTTTAGTGAGCTAGGTTTCAAAATTAAACCTACAATTTTTGGTTAACTGTATTTTTTAATTTAAAAAAAAGTCTGTTGGTATTCTTATATATCTTTTTCTCTTTTTCCTTTTGCTTGTCCATAATTTGTTTTCTTAGATTCTATTGCAGCAATGCCAGTGCTATGTTTCTATATTAAATTTAGATTTAGAAGCTGTTTTTCCCATAAAGCACACAGTTCTTGTTATAGTTGGATGTCACCATTGCATTTCTCCTTTTTCACAAGTTGAGAGATCATAGAAACAATCTTATTTTTAAAACACTGTTTATTCACAAAATGATCATGAAATTTTGCATTCTGTAATTTGGAGTTTTAAAAAGCAAACTATTCAAAATGTCTTACCTTTGATTATAAAGTTTTATAAGAAAGGTACCCATGCTTTTTCAGAGGGATTCATATTTAAGACTCAGAGTAACCATTGATCCCTCATTTGGGGTGGGTGTATCCAGGTCTGTTTGGTTCAGGCCTAACTGACGTTTCTCTCTCCAAGATCTGCTGTCCACCTTCCGTCTCCTCAAGGGCAACTGTGGTCCACCTAGCTTTTCTTTAACGTTAACACTGACACCTTACATAACCATTGTGCAATTATCAATACTATGAAATGAGCGTTGGTACAATACTATTAACTGAAATACAGATTTTCTTAGTTTTTCTATTAATGACCTTTTTTTCTGTTGAGGATCTCATGTCTCCATAGGTTCCTCCACTCTCTGACAGTTCTCTACTCTCTCCTTGTCTTTCATGACCTTGACATTTCTGAAGAGTGTGGTAGGCATATTGGAGAATGTCCCTTTGATGTTTTCTTAGGAATAGACTGAGACTGTGGATTTTTGGGGAGAATCAGAGATGTGTTTTTCTTGTTGCATCCTACCAGGGAGCACATGATGTCAACATAATTTATATTTGGCAATGCTGATCTTGGTTACTTAGTTAAGATGATGTTTTTCAGGTTTCTCTATGGTAATCTGACCAAATGTTTCCCTTTTCATACTCTATTCACTAAGTCCAGTCCACTTTCAAGGGGAAGAGAATGAAGCTCCATTTCCCAGAGAAAGGAGTTTCAAGGAATTGGTGGTCATATGTTAAAAGCATAACAGGTATAATTTTAAATAAAGTTGATATAACAAACTGGGGTCCAAGATTTGCCCAAGATCACACAGTGACTGCGTTTAGGAGCAGGTTTAGGAGCAGGATTCAGTTGTCTTATTCCCCAAGTAAATGTTCTTAAACAAAGGCATTTGTGAGTGTTCTTTAAAAATGTGAGGCAAGCATTTTCTATAATACAACTATTACAGGGTTGCCGGGTATTTAGGCACAATTGGGAAGCAGTAATGTTCACATGCAGTTGTATTTCCAAAGATGAGATTCTGAGTGTTGCCGCCTGGTAGCTGTGATCTCTTTGCCATGTTACGGGGTTAAAGTCCTCTAAGTCTTACCCACATATTCCCCTTCCTCACTGCCCTCACCCGCATGCCCATCATTAATTCTGAGTGCTGGAGGGGTCTGAAACAGCCAGGGGACTGAGGCACTTTCTGGATAGGAGACTAAGAAAGGAGAGGTCCAGGCTAGTGATGGTGGTCTAGATGCAGAATGGGTGGGGATGGATACCAGTTTCCACCATTTGGCATGCTTTGTTTATTACTGTACTCCAATTTAAACTACAGGGCCAGACTCAGATAAGTATTTGTTGAATGAATGGAAGGGCAAGCGATATGAAGAGAGAGGTTAAAGTCGAGCAAAGGAAGTGAGAAGAATTTGGTTGAGGTATTCAACTATCCCTGCTGTATTAGTTACATGCCCATCTTACCCCAGATGACTAAAGCTAGCCTGTCCTTGGTGATAGTCTTCAAAAACTTGTATCATCATTGCCACTATGAGTAAGATCAGCTTATACTTATTTTACAGTGCCACTTTGTTATCGTCCTCTTTTACAGATGAAGCTCAGAGAGGTTAAATGACTTACCTGAAGTCTCACACTGAGTCCCAGATCCAGGATTGGAACCCAGACCTATCTGACTCCAGCGTTGTCTGGGATAATGTCTTTTATTTTACAGTAAGATGGGTTAAAATGTGATGTTCAGGCAGTGTAAGAAGAAAGTTACACTGAACATAACAAAAGATACCAGATACTTTCTTGTTTATGTAGGCGAAAGAAAGAATGGGAGAGGTCATGAAGCTAGGAGCACCGGGGTTTGGAAGAGAGAGTATCTGCAAGAATAGAGGAAGGAGAGTGTAGAGTCTGAAAACAAACTTGACCCACTTGCTTCTGCCAGGCTTTTCTGGTTTTCAGAGTAACAGCAACAGCTCCCAATGAGTGAATATTTCCTATGTAAATGAGTTGTTACTGAGATAATTCCATTATTTCATTTACTCTTCTTCACTCACAGCTGTCTAAAACATAGATACTACAAGTATAGATGAAAAAATAGACCTGTTGCAGTTCAAGTCACATGGAACACAGTGGGCCAGGATTTAAACCCTGATCTGACCTCAGGTCTGTGACTCCAAAGCCATGTGCACCTCCCTTCTTTACACAGAATCCTGGAAGCTGTGGCCTTCCCCCAATATACAGTGGCTACAGGGAATGCACAATCCGCCTCTTTCTTCCATGAGGGGATGTGCAGGACACCGGCGCCATCCTAGAATAAAACAGAAGAGAAACTCTGTTGATAGAGAGTAAACACACAGATCCTCTTTCAACATGAAAATTTTAGTTTAAGGAATATATAGGCTAATTCCTGTCACTTTAGTCTAATACATTTTTATTTCTAGGAAGCCTTAAAAATGTGTGCTTTATCATAGAATTCTCAGATCTGATTGAGTACACAAATGTTTATAATCACAAAAGCTCAGCAATTTAGGCTTAAATAAAAAACTGTTGTCCTGTATATATAGAGAATAATAAGTATTAGGAATTTTGTGAATAAGCTCACTTTGATGGTGGCATTGGTATTCTTTTCTTGCTAAGTGTGACTAGTCGTTACGGTAATAATAGCCATGAAATTTCCTTGGTCTATACTTACAACTATAAATCTTATGTATGTGTTCTGCTGATGCTATTGGCCAAACTTTACCAGTCTCCATTATTTTTTAAATATCAGTTTTCTTCAGTTATTTGAAGTATAATGTTCTTCTTTTGACATTTCAAATAATATAGAAGTGTTTAAAATAAAACAAACCATCTTCCTTTCCTTCCCTATACTTCCCTGGTTAACTACCATTATGATTACTTTATCTTAATCCTTCTATATTTTTTTTGTTTGCTTTGAGACACATATTCATGAGACATGTATTCAAGAGACATTCTCACAATTTCTATAATATACTTTCTCACTTAATGAGATATGGTGGACAGCTTTCCAAATCAACCCATTGAGATCTATCATGATCTTAATAAAAGCTTTATAGAATCTTATAAATGGACATATAATTATTTGTTTATACATCCTCTAATGATAGACATTCAGGATGTTTCTTTTTTCTTTTTCTTTTCTTTTTATTGAAGCAGTGCTGCCACACATGTACTAGTACATATATTTTATATATTGTCAGATAAATTTCTACAGATGAAAATTTTGGGGTTAGAACTCCTAACTTTTACCAATCTGATGGATGAACACTGTTGTTTTTTTATGGTTGGTTCAGAGAGTATAAACATTCTGAATTTTATAAATATTGCAATATTAATTTCCAAAAAGATTGCACTTACAGACAAAAGAGACTTCTTTAATTTAAGTTTGAAAGGTTCATTAAAAGCTGCCAGGTAGGACTAGAATCTTCAGGAGGGCAAATGAAACTCGGAGAGCCACGGCTAGGCTTAGCCACTGCAGGCAGCACCCAGCCACGGGCTGCGTCCTCGTGGGGAGAACACTGCTGCTCCCCCTCTCCCAGCTTGGCTCTGCTCATGCTGGATGGCAGGTCAGCCATGGAGTTCCACTGGGGGACGTTTAGTACACTTTTCTATAGTGATTATGATTCTTATCAAGCTCTCCTTGTATTTCAGGGAGGTTTTACCTTAAATAATTTGAGGCTATGTTATTTGCCATGTTATAGTTCTTGATTATTACCTGTTCTTTGTTGCTTTTATCTTTTTTCATGGTAAAATATCCTTATGTAAATTTTAATTCTTAATATTTTTATTTCTTTTGCCTTTTTTAGTCTGCATTTACCTGATATATAATTTGGGTCCATCCCTTTATCTTCATTTCTTTTTAATCTCATTCTATTAGTTTTTCTCCTTTAATAAGAGAGCTAAACTACTCATTTTATTATAACGACACCTGTATTTTATCTTGTTCCTTTCATGCTATTTTATGATTACTTTTAATTCTACCTTTTTGTTTCCTTTTTTTTTTCTTTGTATACTTGGATGCACTTTGATTTTTTCATATCCTACTTATGAATAAGTCACAACTTTTACTATTAAATTCCCATTTTATTAGTGATTTCTCCCTATTTTCATAGTCATTTACATCATTTCTATACTAATATACCAAAACTAAAAACTATGTCCTCCATCAGATGCTTCACTATTCTGTTCTACACCTTCCCTCATCCACCTCCAAATTAAACAATTTTGGAAATGGTTTTACTTTACTTCTCTCTCCCTGGCCCTACTCCACGCCCCAACTCTTGCATGATAATAATTGAGAACTTCGGTTTCAGGATGTTATGTTACTAAATGCTCCTTTAAGATGTTTTGACGGTTGCAAAATTTGTTCTAAATTAATACTGCAGCTCATACTCACAATATTACTCATTTAGAGCCAACTACAAATTTACAAGAATTACTGCTCACCACCACTTTTATGCTCTTTGTCTTCTGCTATTTTGAGGTCTTTGTTCTGATTTAATTTGTATTTGGTTGCAGCAATTTCCTTGAGTAATGTTTTTCAGAAAGGGCAGACAGATTTTATGCTTTTGAGCCTCTGTCTTTGTCTGTATATTTAAATGCTCTATGGGAATGGCATAAGATTCTTGAGTCAGAGCTTTTATCTTCAGGAACTTTCTAAACCATGTTTTACTATCTACCATTTTCAGTGTAGCAGTTTGATATTAGGCTGATTCTCTTTCCTTTGTAAGTAGTATCTTCTCTATCTAGAAGCTTCTGTTGTTTATTCTTGGACTGTACAAATGTCAGCAAAATGTAACTTCTTTCATCAATTTGTTTTGGATTTAGATTGCTCCTCCCCATCTGAAAGTCTTTGCTGCTTGTTATATAAGTTTTCTTCTGTCATTTATTTGATCATTACTTTTTAATTTCTTTCTTCTTCTTTCTAAAATATCAGTTTTTTTGTATATTGGGCCTATGTATCTGACATCTATGGATTTGCCATGCCTGTCTTATATCTTTTTGCACATGGTTTCTAGTTCTTCAGGTTTTTGCTTTCTGTTGTGAGATATTATTTCCATTTGTTTTTTCCAGAATATAAATTCAGTTCTCATCCATGATTGTTCTTATTTGATTTCTCTATTGAATTTTTAAATTCAGAAATAATTTTTTTTCTTCTAGAATTTTTTGTTGTTGTTCTGGGATCTAATTACATCCATTTAGAGTTCTCATTACATTGTTGTTGTAGTTATAGTACTTGTCTGTCTTTTACATCCGTTCTGCCTTAGTAGTGGCCTCCTGTTCTTGTGTGTTCATTTTTTAAAAAGTTGAGTCTTAAATGTGTTGTGATTTTTCTTTGCCTACTCATACCCACATAGTCCAGGCTATGGGTATCTCTGGATAGTGATGAACTGACAGGTGACAGAAGATGGACTTGGAAATTTTGTCTAATGTCTTAGTAGCCAAACAAACTGGAAAACCAGCATTTCTTTGCTGAGGCATGCGTGGGAGGGCTCTCTGTTTTTAGACTTCTTGAGTAAAGACAATGCTGTCCCTTCATAACCTCTGGAGTTCACAAGCAAGGATGCCAGCATCCTTTTAATGGGGCAGCATTATAAAGGACAGTAAACTTCAAGTGGAAAGCAGAAGTAGATCTCCACATGCAGAGAAGGATCTATTTACTCAGTAAGTAAGGCCCCTTTAGGCAGGCAAGAAATCTGTGGTCTCGTACCAGCCTCTGCTAGAAGTGCAAACCATCACTTGGATCATTTGGGACCTCTGTGATACAGATAATGAGGTCAGAACCTCTTTTTTTCCCTCTGAGAATGCACAGGTTCATATTCACCAGTGGCTTCCTTGTCTTGCTGATAGCAGGCCACTGTTTTTCGGCTGTACTGCCACAAGTTATTGAAAGGGAGAAGGGCTTGTGAGCGTGCTCTCAGGTCACTCTGAACCCCAGCTTCCGAAATTTATGTCAGAAGAGGATTAAGGATTTTTCTTTGTTATTATTTGAATAACTTAAGAGAAAGAATCATCAAAATGAGGTAGAACATTGATATAAAACCAATTATACCACTGTAAAAAATGGTCATGTGAACATTGACATACAGATTATAAAATGTTGCACGTGATCACTACAGAAAATAATTTTTTTCCAAAAGAAATGTTTTGAAAGCATTTTATAATATAACATTGAAATTGGAACCCACTTCACCTTCTTATTTCTCTACAAAGAGACATTTCATATATTTTATCCCCCGATTCTGTCTCAACCGTCATGGATATGGTAGGCTGCAGATATAAGTTCTAAAGTCAGGTGTCCAGCAGAAATGTTAAGTCAGTTCCTTGTGTTGTGCAAAAAGTGGAAATGCCTGTGATTGGTTGGGAGCTAAACAGGTGCAACCATTTCTTCACAGAGCAGTTCTGGGGGAAAACCACTCAGTAAAATGATGCTCTTTTAATCCTCAAAGACCTCCCTGTGTATTTGACTTTATTTACAGATAGCCTTGGATACCAGTTACTGGACTGCCATCAATCACGTCTTCATCTGGGGCAGCATTGCCTCTTACTTCCTCATTTTATTTACAATGCAGAGTAATGGCATGTTTGGCATCTTCCCAAAACAGTTTCCATTTGTTGGTAAGTGAATCCTACTATCTACTGGGGCCCAATATCACACTGTCATTTATTTGTCTTCGTAATTTATTTTCTGGGTTGGGTGGGGCTAGGGGCGACCAAGAATCTTTTTTGCAGGAATTAATTGTGTCGGATGCCTCTGAAGGCTTCCAGGCTCGAACAGGGCTCTAAAAGGTTATTTCCTGCTGTCCTTCCCAGATGCAAAAGCATCATTGAGGTAACTGCTTACTGGTTCCCAACTACCCAGATGCAGTAAACTACCCTTTTGAAAACAAGAGGCAGAGCATATATATCAGGGCTACCTGACACCTGTGAAAAGTTCATGGTTGATAGCGGAAAAAAAGAGAGCAAGAAATACCGGGCTCTGCTTTTATGGCACATTGCCACCAACATCTTTGCCAAAGGTTACCGGGGGAACTTATTTGCATTTAGATAAGAAAGAAATGATATATAATTTAGAGGCTTCTAAAATTTTGGAGACATTAGTCTGCAAGTGGCATGAAGAGTAGGCTCTGTTGTTAGATGGCCAGGGTACAGTGTCAGCTTCACCATTTATAAGCCATGTGACCCAGGGCACGCTGCCTTTGTGTGCCTGTGTTCACTTCTAAACTGGGGATAGTAGTAGTTCCTAGTTTCATATGAAATTTGTGAGGGTCAAATGAGATGATACATATAAAAATGCTGCACATTGACATTCTATGTAGTACTTAAAAAATGTTAACCATGATCATGGTGATGATCATGGTGATGATGGTGGTGGTGGTGGTGGTGGTGGTGGTGATGATTCAAGTAAATGGGGCATGGGGACATTACAAAGTGTTCTGAGCAGTAAATGGGTAGCAAAGCACCTCTTAAAATCCCGTATGATCTTGAGCTTCTATGATTCTACAGAACGGTACATCTGCTCTATCTATGGAGTATGCTACCATTGCTCTCCACATTTCAAAATGATTCCTAGCAAGGACCACTGAACTTTACACAGTGGGGCTACTAATATACTTTCTCAGAAGTTCTGAGATCTCTAAGTAGGAGACAGAAGTTGGTAACAATGATGTTTTTGAGTTCATCCCAGCAAACTGGAGAGGCGTACAGTGAAAATCTTCTTGACCTCTTATCAGGCAAGACTGAGATTTGCATCTGCTAGTTGGGGAATCCATTCTACAAAACAATTCTTAGAAGACTTCTTGTAGAGAGAAAAATAAGAGCAACAATAGCGTTATACATTTCCAACGATGCAAAGGCTCCTGAAATTGTAATTCCATTTAAATTTAAACATACACTTAAAAATGTTATTCTTCAACTTTTGCTTTGCCCTGCATGTACATGGAAAATTTAAATTGCACCACTCTTACTTAATATGTGATATTAATACTTTGCTTACCAAAAGATTTCAGCCATGTAGAAGAGACATGATGGTAATGAATGAATATAAGCCTATTAGGAAAGAGAGACATTAAAACTATTTTTAAGGTTATTTTTGGTTGTCAAATCTGAAAGTTCAGTGCATTGACTAGAAGATTCCCAGTCCTAAGAGAGCATTCTAGAATGTATAACGAGACTGGAATGCCTCAACTGGAGAAAGTAGTTTGTGTGGGAACCGCTCTCCCCAGCTAAGCACGTCATTCCAGGAATTAATTGTTGAGCTCCAATAAGACTTTTCAAACGTTAGATCAACATTGGGGTTTAAGAAAAATTTTTTCCTTAGTAGCCAGCAGCCAACAGGAGTGTGGTTTTAAAGCAAAGCTTGTGTTTTTCCAGCCATGCCTGGGGGTACTGAGCTTCAAGGAACTCAAAGAGACATTTAATTTATTGAGTCAAGTTTGGTTCTGCCCAGGCAAATGGAACCAACTGCTCCTTGGTAGGCAGATACTATTCTCCAAAGCCAGAACATTCAGGAACCCAAAGCCCATTCAAGGTGTTAATTCTTTAGCACTGGGAGAGGAAACCTAGATAATTGGAGGTTACATGGTAAATCCCTAGAAACCAATAGAAACAGAAGTTTATTTTGGTGATATAAGTAGGGTTACCATCTTCTGTAGAACTTGTCTACTTGCCTTACTGACCCATATTTCTTTGTTTAAACAAACATCCCAGTATACGAGGTATGAGGACAAAGTAAGGAAACTGGCTCAGGCTGGAAATGAGTTTCACTGCTCTATCTCACTAGCACGTTGGATGTCTGCATCGGTGGTTTCCCAGTGAGGGGAATGCTCATTTCAAAAACCCAGGAGCATCCCTTATTTCCTGGGAACCTTGAGCACCTCATAACCCAGTGATCATCAGAGAAATCAGCAAGGCCCTTTGAGGCAGGTTTTCTGGGGGTAGTTTCTGAATTTAAAAGTTTAGCCTTGAAGTAGATAAAGCTTATCCTTTATGGCATAGTCAGTCACCAAGACCATTATTTGAAATTGTACCTGCAACCAAGACCTGCATTGTGTAATTTTGATATAATAGTTAGGGAAGCGGTGTTTGCCACCCCAACCTATGCCATTTGGGATATTGATTGTTTTAGGCTGATTATTTTTAAGAAACAAAAGGCTCAGGAAGAACCTTTGACCTTCCCCCTAACTGCCTAAAAATTTATGTAGAAGACCTACTTCAGGAAGGAGGCTATCATCATAGATAACTATATTTTAATATGAGCTAGATGTGATAGAGAGGAACCTAACGAAGTCCATTCGATGTAAGTTCTCCCTGGGTCCATTGTTAAAGATGGTCCAGCAAACACCTCCGCCGCCAGGGTAAATGTGCCACTTACAAATAATGGATGCTTTGTAGTCAAGGGATCTAGGAACAGCTTGAGAGAATTATGGTTCACGAGTGAAGCTGAACTGAACCTGGATAAGAGAATGCTCTAGCTGGCAATCTCCAAGTGATCAGGCTACAAAGCAGTTCCCAAGGGTTATCACTTTTGCCTTCTCCTCATCACCACTGAACATACTACATAGTAGAGAAGACACCTAGTTTTTCTCCCTAGGTAGTCCGAACCTTGCCATTTCTAAAAAGGCCTTATGAGTATAGACACGTCTATTAATGCAGCAATTCTATGCTATTTATAACCACAATGTATATTTTCCTTTAATGACAGGAAATGCACGACATTCCTTGACCCAAAAGTGCGTCTGGCTTGTTATTCTCCTAACGACAGTGGCTTCAGTTATGCCTGTGCTGGTATTCAGATTTTTGAAGGTGGATTTATTCCCAACCCTGAGTGACCAGGTATGTTGCAGTGCTAATAAGTCCTTGAAGGGCTGGTTCTTGGTTCTTGGGATCATGTTCTTCTCTGCCTGATGGGAAGCCCAGTGAAAGACCAGTAAACTTCCAATTGGCAAACACCCACCGGTGCACAATGTCACATCACAGTAGGTGGAACTGCCTACTTCTAATGTACTAGTCTTATGAGTACTGTTAAAGACAAATGTCTACACTAAATATGGGTGGGGAGTCATAAATTACAAGTGAATCTGGGTATTTAAAAAAGTTGACAGGCAGCATTTTGACAATCATTCCAAGGGAAAGACAAACTGTAGGGAAAGTTATTGACTTGGGGGCAAATAGAGGGTGCAGTAAAAGAGAGACAACCAAGGTATGTGGTGAAGGGGCTCTAAATATTGGTAGAAATATAGTGGCAGATTCAGAAACACACAGGAGCCCTGGCCGGTTTGGCTCAGCGGTTGGAGCATCGGCCTGTGGACCAGAGGGTCCTGGGTTCAGTTCCCGCTAGGGGCAGGTACCAAAAAAAAAAAAAAAAAAAGAAACAGGCAGGAGATGTTACCTTCTAAACAGATTAAGAAAGGGAACAGCAGTGTGATGGATGAATTAGAAAATATACAGTTAGAAGGGAAACAGATTATAGAAATACCTAAACAAAGGGATTAACAGATCATATTTCAGTATTTTCTGGGAAGAAGAGCATAAGTAAGATGATGTCAAGTTAGTTCTGGGTGCAGATAAAAAGAAAAAAGGAGAAAGAAGGGGAGATATTTGTGGCCACATTAAGAGAAGAGTAAAAACATTGATTGGGATGAGTGACCAAGCCAGTGATGCTGAGGGGAACTGAGGTAGAACTTTCCTTTGTCATGATATCCCTCACATTCTGAGGCCAGAATACAAAAATATTCCTTCTGAAATGATTCCCAGAGTCCCCTGTTGTTTGTCCTTTCCCTTTGGCTCTGTAAGCTCTTTTTTTTTTTTTTTATCCTCACCTGAGGACATTTTTTTTATTCTATGTTCAGATAGAGTGGGAGGGAGAGAGAGAGAGAGAGAGAGAGAGAAACATTGATGTGAAAGGGACACATCAAGTGGTCACCACCCGCATGACCCAACCAGGGCTAGGGACAAACTGCAACAGAGATACATGCCCTTAGCAGGAACCGAACCCAGGTCTCTCTGGACCGCAGGCTGACGCTCTAACCACTGAGCAAACCGGCCAGGGCTGTAAGCTCATTCTTATGTAAACCCAGAAAATGATGAATGAGCTGAAGGAAGGAAGATGATCATTTCTTCCTATATTCAGTCAGATCATGACTTTCTGCTTAACAGTTTTCTCCTGACACAAGAGTTGGAGTCCAAGCAATCAGCGGAGTCATAGAAAAAGGTGGCTTGCAACTCTTGTTCTAAACCTTGGATCCTTTCTCCTCAACTTTATAGGGAAATGAAAGAAATATTGGAAACCCACCCAAATGATCTGGCCTCTTCAAAAAATGACCTACCCTCAACCCCCATGAAATTAAAACCCTGACAATTTCATGATACATTGACCTACCACAAGAGTTGGAAATTTCTGATTCTCATTTTCTAAATTTTGTCTTTGTCTAGTTCCTAATGACTATTGGATCCTGAGAATCTCAAAAGACATTTAAAAGGCCTGCTTTTGAGGGACTGGAACAATAAATTGTTATACTGACCATGTTTGGGTGGTGCATGCTAGAAAATCTTTCTGTATAAAAGTATGTTCCTATTCATTTAAGACGGATGTATGAGATAGAGAAAATAATAAAATTTTCCTTAATACTTCTTGCGTCCTTAATAGTCTCTTGATAGAAAAAAAAATTGATGAGTGTCCAGGGTAATCCTTCAGGTAGAAATATTCTTAGCTTTTAGGTGAAAAAACTCAATTTTTGCAAGGAAGGTAAGTATTTTGTTCATGTTGATGTTGTTTTCACTGGGAAGGCTTTCACTTCACAGTGGCCCCTGTCACCTGGTTGCTTCATCTCACTCTGGGTCTCCTTCCTCTCCAGATCCGCCAGTGGCAGAAGGCTCAACAGAAGGCCAGGCCTCTGCATGGCCGGAGGCCTCGGTCCCGTAGGTCAAGCTCAAGAAGATCTGGATATGCTTTTGCTCACCAAGAGGGCTATGGAGAGCTTATCACATCTGGAAAAAATATGCGAGCTAAAAATCCATCCCCACCGTCAGGGTTGGAAAAGACACTGGATAATAGCACTAGCTGGATTGAAAATGCATGTCAGAAAACCACAGACACAGTGAGCAGCTTTAACCAGGACAAAACAGTGAAACTGTGAGTCAAGATGCATTTGAACCACATAGTTATCTTTTCACTTCAGCTGAAGCTGAAACTCAGCTGGCTTCAGAGTTTGGGGCTAGGAGTGGACAGACTGCCTCACTAACTTAAATCTGTGGCAAGACAGCTGCCTGGTGCCTGTCAAGCAGAGGTGGACTCTACCGGAAACCAAGCTAGAGGGTCACCGTCTAATTTGTGATTTGGCAGACAAAACCTTCACAATGCAAGCACAGGTTTTTTTTATCAACCTAGACACCAATTGACCCGAACTTTAGAATTTTATATATGGAGACAAACTTGTAAATCTGCATGTACATTAAATGGATGGATCGTCAGGTGGATAAAAGGGTACATTCAGAAGGCATGTACCCCAGCTGAAAAGCATGCTTGTTTACAGACAAACATGTATATGTCAGATCAGCCTTTCCCAAGATGTACTTTTAAGATTTAAAATTGTACTAAGGTGCCTTCAGACTAGGAGGAGCTTGTCCCTCCCAGTCTTGATTTCTACCTGTGTGTTCAGCCAGGACAAAAATCACCTTCATGCCTGAAGAATGGAAAAATACATCAGTGTTAATTACTTTTCTGCTAGTCTAGACATAGTTCAGACTGAGCCTCTTTACAGTGGGATAAACTGGTAATTTGGTCAAATTTATTCTAAAAGCTGTCATGGACATGTTCATGAAGTGTCAACAAGAAGCTCTAGTAAGTGTTCTAAATAAGTTTCAATGACTTTTATAACAACCTCAGTAGTAATTTGCCCTGTGTCATCCAGAACCATTCATGGAACCAGCGAAGCATTGAAATTTTACGCTTTAATGATAGTATTCTATATAGTTGATGGGCAAATGTTTTAAACATTTTTTATTTTAAAAAGTTCCGATTTGCAGCCAAACAAATAAATCAATATGATCTTCAATTACTATTAAATTCTCAGGCTTAGGTCATTCAGAGTGAGTTGCTTTTGGTTTTGAGCTGTAATGCTTATGATTCCAATATAAACATATGCAGATGAGGCTGAGTTTTTGGGAAATGTTCCAGGCCAAATGTGAATCACCAATGTAGATTCCATAACAGAATTCAGGCAGATTTGTGTTCAAAGTCCAGCTCTATTCGCTTCTTACCTCTATGATCCTGGGCAGGTAACATGCCTCCTCTCAGACTCAGTTTCTTCCTCTGTAAAATGAGGATATACTACCTACCTCATGTGGTTGTTTGGGGATTGTCAAAGCACAAATTCTCAAATCACTGAAAATGTAATTCTCCTATGAATAGATGATGAGTTTAGTTCCATTTAGCTCATAATCAGAATAATAGAGCAATCTGAAGAGAACATGAAGAACTAGATTTTATCAGTGGAAAAAGACTTGATGAAATGAGATTACAAAGTAAGATATAAAACTGGTTAATGTCCTACAGGGAAATAAAACTATAACCTTGGAGGTGAATTTCTCCACCAGAAAGCAAAAATAGATCATCCTCATACCTTATTAATTTTTTACAAGTCAACGCTCCAACTTTACAGGGTTCTTAATCTGGTCCCTATTGAATTATTAGTCAAATTTATATTTCCCAAGAGAGTCAGATGGCCCTTGAGTGGGCTTGATGAATAATAGGCTAGCATATTATTAATAGATCACATAATCTGTTCTGTTTTGTTTTGTTTTTTGCCTTAATTTCCAAGTCTGGGATAATTTTCCCTAAATGGGGTCAAATGAGATACATGTCGAAGAGCCTAATCATAGTAAATAAATGCTCATATTTGTTCCTTTTCCCCCTACATGCCTGTGTAGACTTACCAGGAGATTAGTTTTCAATGTCTAATTTGTCATTTATTTCACTATGTTTACTCACTTTTTGTAACATCTTTGAAAGATTTGAAAACTTTCAGTAAATATTTTGGCACTATTGGTATTTGATGTTTTGCCACTTCTTTATTGGGAACTCATTGGAAAGAGTTTTTGTCACATTGGTCAACTGATTTTTCTCTCTCTCTCCTTTACATGCCTGGGGAAAATGTACATCATTCTTAGGATCAGAGTCAAGAATAAAACAAACCAATTGGACCTATGTAAAAGGGGTGGGAAAGATTAGGAATGTTCCAAGTTTGAAAATTCAGTTCAAATTAAATAAGGCTGTTTATAAACAGATAATGTGGATGGCTATGAGAGAAACACATTATCAGTTTCCTTTGGCCCATGAGATTCTAATAAAGTTACACACCCATTGCGAGATCATTTGATTACAAGTGCCAGGGATTATTTTGAACCTGAACAAAAGGAGTCTGAAGAGTGGCTGATGATGGCAGTACTCTGGGGAATAATAAAATTTTAATTTTACATAAACATTATCAGATTATTTGGAAAGAATTTTTTTTTTTTCTAGATTCAGGACTGACGTTGGTAGCTTGAGTTTTTAAAACCTTAGTTCAAGTTTTGAGCTTTTCTAGGCAACTGCACATTGTATCCCTTTGACTTAGATTTGCCATCTTCGGCTCTCTCATCTGCCTCCAGGTATACATACCTGTGAAAGAGAGAAGGAGAGAGGGATGAAGAAAGCAAGAGAGGCAGAAAACAATGGAGAGAAGATAGGAGAACGGGAGAGAAGAGTTTCCAATGACATATTTCTTATGGTGATATGACTCTCTGAGAAGTAAATTTAATTCCTCAAAGGAAAAAAAAGATTATATTTGAGAAGTAAATAACAAAACCTCCTTCACAGACAGTGTGAGATGAAGAACATTTTGTTGGAAAGGGAGCCAGGAGCTCTGGCTTCTCGTCGCGGAGATGCCGCTGAGTTGTGTTGGGCAGAGCAGGTCATGGATTTCCCCAGGCCTTAGCGTCCCAATCCGTCAGGAGAAATCAGGCAGTATGGTCTCAAAGACTCACTCTCATGTGCTCACTCCGTAAACTTTTCTTGCTAGTGTTGCACACTGTGATTGTTTTTGATGGAAGAGAGAGAGAGATTAAACTGGACTGTCTCTTGAGGGCAGGGCTTGGCTCTTAAAAGAGCCTCTGGTGTCTTGCTGTCTCTCAGCTCACCACAGAGGCGCTAAACCCGATGGTAGTACTTTTGCCTGGGTCAGCTGAAGACACTTTGTTTCTTGCTCATGATTCATTAAGATCTTATATGCATACTCTCCTTTCTTCTCTGCTGCTTCCGCCTGGCAAGAAGAGGGCCATGTCAAAGTCCTTTCTAGTTTGTCCCTGGGCTTAGAGGAATACTTATTTTTATTGAGTCTATCGGGGTAACATTATATAAGTGTCATGTACAATTCTATAAAACATCATCTGTATATTGCACTGTGTGCTCACCACCTGTATTCCTTTAATCATCGTATATTTGGCCCCCTTAACCCACTTCATCCTCCCCTCACCCCCTTCCACTCTGGTAACCGCCAGACTGTTGCCTGTGTCTATGAGTTGGTTTCGTTTTGTTGTTTTCTATTTTGTATCCCACACATGAGTGAAAGTGTATGGTTCTTGTGCTTTTCTGTCTGACTTAAATTGCTTAGTCGATAATTTCAAGATCCACGTTGTCCCAAATGGCAGTATTTCATCCTTTATTATGGCTGAGTCACATTCCTTTGTGTATATGAACCACATCTTCTTTATCCAATCATCCATCAAAGGACACTTTGGTTGTCTTCATGTCTTGGCCACTGTGACTAATGCTACAGTGAACATAGGGATACATCTATCTCTATGGACAAATGTTTTCAGATTTTTGGGGTAGATAACCAAAGAGAATTTCCTGGGTCATATGGTAGCTCTATTCTTAATTCTTAATTTTTTGAGGAACCACCAGCCTGTTTTCCAATTTACAGTCCCACCAGCAGTGTATGAGGGATCCTTTCTCTACATCCTCTCCAACACTCATTCTTTCTTGTTTTATCAATAGTAGTCATTCTAACAAGGGTGAGGTAGTATCTCATTGTAGTTTTGATTTGCATTTCCCTGATAGCTAGTGAAAGTGAGCATCTTTTCATACATCTGTTGGCCATTTGTTTGTCTTCTTGGGAAAAGTATCTTTTCAGGTCCGTTGCCCATTTTTTAATTATACTGCTTTTTTGTTGTTGTTGAGTTGCATGAGTTCTTTATATATTTTGGATATTAGCTCCCTATCTGAGGTATTGTTTACATATATCTTCTCCCATTTGGTTGGCTGACTTTTTGTTTGATTGGTGGTTTCCTTTTGTGGGCAGAAGCTTTTTAGTTTGATGTGGTCCCATTCCTTTATTTTTGCTTTTATTGCCCTTGCCTTTGGGGTCAAGGTTACAAAAGCCTCTCTGAAACCGAAGTCCATAAGTTTAGGACCTATGTGTTTTCCCCCATATAGTTAATAGTTTCAGGGCTTATATTTAAGTCTTTAATTCATTTTGAGTTATTTTTTGTGTATGGTGTCCAGTAGCAGTCTAACTTCATTCTTTGTATGTGGTTTTCCAATTTTCCAGAAACCACTTATTGATGAGGCTTTTAGAGGTGATTCTTTAGGCCTCAGCTTCCTCAGGATTTGGGTTGAAACAACAGAGTTGGAAAGACTTTCTTCCTAGTTATACAAAACTTTTCAGCGTATGTATCAGTTTGTGTGTTGACACAAACTGCATTCTCTGAGTATTTACCCTGACTATATTCTTTGAACCGCACAACAATCCTGTGGTCAGGACATTCATGTTAAAACCATCTTTAGGCAGAGGAATCGAGGTGCAGGGAGGTTAAGTGCTCTGCTCAGTATTTCCAGGAAATTAAAAACTCACTCAGATCTGACACCTAACCCAGAGCTTCTTACCTACAACTCCTCATTCCCCACCAAGCTCTCGTCCTCATACACACGAAGTTTCTAAACAGTCCATCCGCCTTCTAACACAGCCATTCAATTTCTCAAGTGTACAGATCCAGGGAAGGAAGACAAACAAATGTCAATGTGTCTTGAAATGTGTGTTTCAGGTGTTTTCTTTCCCTCTCGATGAAATAAGCATGATTTCCTCCCTTGTTTCCTTTCTCTCTGCATGTGACAAAGTTAGATAGGTGTGCCATGCAGACAAGGGAAATAAACATGCCTCAAATTACTTTTTAAAATTTCTAGAAAACACAAAAAACAGAAAGGCTGCAGCTCCGATTTTTATGGTAAGGAGCCACGTCACGCGATTCGTGTGTTCACAAAATGCCTCAAGATCAACCTGACCTCGTGATCTCAGTTGAATTGCTCAGAATTACTATTTTAAATTTCAAAATATTAGACATGGCTTCATAGTGGAAGAAGCCGGAAATTATGATGCCTTGTGCACTCTGACGGATTTCTGCAGGTCAGGAGTCAGATAATGACGTGGGACCACACTTTTCCCAGTGACATCTGGCATTAAACGTCTGCAGTTTGCTCTGCTGCATCATATTTCATTCCTCGGTGACAAATCATGAACTTTTGCAATTCTCTAGCCTAAACGTTTCACTAAACTGCCTGGAAGCCAGAACGAAATGACCCATGTGTTTCAAAATGCTCATTGCAAAATATCTGGAGGGTCTGACTGGGCAAATCTGTAGGTGTGGGGCTATAACTTATCTGTCCTTGCATTTCAAAACTTCCTGGCAGATCGATTCCTGTAACTGGTACAGAATGCAGATCAGCTCGGAGCAGTGTGGTAAATGTCCAGTGTTCAAGAAATAATAATGAGTTGGCCAAAAACCTCCGGCTCTCGCAATTCGGATTCCCGTAAAGTTTGTAAGGGCAAGTTTAAATTGTTAATAAATCGCAGCCCTGGGCTCATACAGAAAACTCGTATTGAACCAGGATGCACAGAGAGATGATGTTTAACTTAATCTGAAGGTAATGATCAAGGAGAAAAGTAGTCAGTTCATCCTTGCCACAAATGTTTCTCTTTTCCCTGCCTTCTTCTAGGTAAGTGTGAGCAGTGAGTAGGATACTCCTTTGGTGGTTGATGGTTTTACTCCTGATACCCTTTCTGTCCTCAGTGTGCAGCAGTGTATACATCTGTAAGCACAGCTGGTGTACAGAGACTGGACAGAAACCACACCGACTCCAGAACACCCTCAGAAAGGTGTTGAATAAAATTCCCGTTACTTTCTGAAGATGATGTCACTTTGATGAAGTGATCATTGAAAAATGATTAATTTGGGATCATGATTAGGTGATTGGAGGTGCTATGAAAAGTATTACCAATCAGTTTGGTAGGGTCGCTGACCAATAAGAATGGACACGAGTCATTAATGACCCCTTTGCCCAGCTGCTAATGGCAGCTGGCTCTCAGCCCTACTCTGATCACATTCTGTCACATACAAAAACAATACCCATTTCTCTTCATAAGGTCTGACTAGAATTCAGTGGTTCTCAACCTTCCTAATGCCATGACCCTTTAATACAGTTCCTCATGTTGTACGTGGGCGTATCTGCATGTGGGCGGACCCGCCTGGAGACGGATAGAGGAGCGGTGTCTTGGTGGTAAGACCATCAGAAATATGTGTTTTCCCATGGTCTTAAGCGACCCCTGTGAAAGGGTCGTTCGACCCCCAAAGGGGTCATGACCCACAGGTTGAGAACCGCTGGACTAGATAAAAACAAAATTCTAAGCCAATTCATAGATGCTATAAGGTAGGTTGATGCCTTTTCTTGGTATCAGTTTGCTATACCAGCTAACAGTTTATTTTCTAAAGCTAGAAGATGGTATCTTGAACACCGGGAATAGCTTTTAACTGCATAACACCGATGACAAAGCATCCTTAGGCATTGTGAATGACTTCTCATCTGTATGAATTACTGACATTGTTGATTAAATAGTTTTACAAATAAAACACTTATCAATATTTATGGTTCAGGAGTTTGGGAGTTCGGTTAAAGTTTTGATGGTAGCAAAGATCACTGGTAATATCTCTGATTGACTGGACGTTGTTTTGCGGTCCTGGTTCTTCCCCAGAGTTCTCAGTGTCAAGTTTGCATGTGGCTTCCATCTAGTAGACCTTCATCATCTCAGATGAAAAGTGCTAATGCATGTAGCACTACCGGGCTAGGCAGAGTGTGGGGCGATGAGGGTATGAAGTGTAGAAGAAACAGAAACAGTGTCTCTTTTCTGTTCATGGAGAAGATCTAATCTAGAATCTTTTTTCTGAGCATCACCCATACCATAGTTTACCGAATTTAAGATGGCATGATTGCGAAGGTGCATCGTCAATTTATAGACCACTTGAAAATAAACAAAAAAAAATAGTCAGTGAGAATTGTAAAGATGTCATTGCATGTAAGACTTTTTCCTAATTTCAGAGAATTTAAAATATGAAATATGGTAATTCCTGGGTTGTAGAAGGTTAAGAAATGGCTGGTGAAAAAAATACAGTATATGGGTGGTGACTACTTTTAAATTTTTATTTATTGATTGATTTTAAATCCTCACCTGAGGATACTTTTTTCCATTTATCTTCAGACAGAGCGGGAGGAAGGGAGGGAAGGAGGGAGGAAGGGAGGGAAAGAGAGAGAGAGTGAGAGAGAGAGAGAGAGAGAGAGAAACATCAATGTGAGGGAGACACATCGACTGGTTGTCTCCCGCACGACCCCGACTAGGGCTGGGGACCGAACCACAGTTGAGGTACGTGCCCCTGATCAGAACTGAATGCACAACTCTTTGGTCCAAGGGCCGATGCTCCAATTGCTGAGCCAAACCGGCCAGGGTGTGACTACTTTTTAAAAGATGTTTGAAGAACACAATAGTTTTAATAGTTCTTAGGGGATAATAAATTGTTTTTATTTTGCAGCCCAGAAAAAGGGAGAGCCTGGAGAGTCGGGCAAGAGGGTGCTCTTGAAGGGGAGCATGTCAGAGGGCTGCTTCTCAGCAAATTAATGATGCAAAGAACAGTGGGGGCACTGCTACATTTGTCCCAGGCAGACGCACCCCCCCCAGCAGCCCACAGAGAGGATAAATAACCTCCAGGCAGCTCCCCAGGACTCAAGGCTTTGCCTGGTTCTGTGGTTGTGTGTGATCATTGCTTCCTCTTTAGATATCCTCTGCATGGCCCATGGAGTCTCTGGGATTTAACTGGTATCATTCTGGCAAGTTAGTCTGATTAATTTACTTGTATTTAAATTTTGCTGCAGCATCCTCACAGAAAGAATGGTAAAGTTACTTATTGCTGGATTCATGTATTAATTTTGTAGAGGAAAGCACTGGTATAGCAATTGAGAGTCTGGGCTCTGGGGTCAGCAGCCTGGGTTTAGCTCCATCCCCCGCAGGCAAATTCCCTATAAAAGCTAATTATGAATAAATAATTACAAGCTGCCAGAAAAGCAGGTCTGTACTCCAGAAGGTTGCATGTCACTTGCCCCAGAGGAGATTTAACAGGCCTTTGTTTTGAAAATTGGTCTCAAGGAGGCTAGACAGAGCTAGACTGTTGGAGAGAAGGTTGGGCTCCGGGGGTGGAAGAGAAGCCCAGGGACTAAATGCTGGAAGGATGGATATCTCAAACCTGGGAGGTGGAGGGCTGGTGCATTCTACCGAGAGGCAGAGATTCTAATCTCATTTGCCTCCCACAATCCCAAGAGA